GGGACCCGGAGCCTTCGGGAGCAGCTCGGGGTGGGAGTGTGTCTGCCACGAGCTGGCGGTGCTCGAAGGCAAGAAGGGGTTTACATTTTCCACCTTCCAGGCGATCGCCGAGGAAAGAGATTGTCTCATTTGTTCGTGTACATATATCTCGTCTCCCAGTTGCCGAGGCAACACTGTATATGTTTGCAGGCTGGAAGGATCTGGGGATGGAAAATGAAGCCAGGGAGTGGACTGAGGAGAGAAGTCCAGCAGGAATTTTCCCCTGGTCTTTCGCGGCCGATTGGTTAGCACTACTTTACGCCGCTCTCCCGGGATTAGTCATCAAATCTGAGATTTCCATTTTTATTATTTTAAATCAACCGCAGTTGCTCTTGGGAGGCCGTTTTTCATGTTAGAAATTAACCTCGCCGAGATTCGGCCGGCGGGGGCTGCAGGAGGGGAGCCAGCAGGCAGGGCAGCACCATAGAAACACAAACAAGGTACAACATCCCACTCTGCCGGCTGCTGGGAAGCCGAGCCCCCGGAGAGCAAGGCACCGGGACACCTGGATGTTCTCCGTGGCTGCTCAGGGCATGACTGTGGCTCGTGCTTTGTTCCAGGGCTTGGATTTAGGGCTCAAGTCCTGGTTTTGGGGTGCCCCCAGCTCAAGTCCTCGCTAGGCTGAGCACAGTACCCGTGCCAAACCTGCTCCAGGTTGCATGCAGCTGCCCACAGCATCCTGAGCTGCTGCTGAAGGTTTCATTCATTTCTTTTCTCCCCATTTTTGGAGTCATTGCTCTCCACAAGCACAATCTCACTGTCTTGGGCCCATGGCCTCAGGTTTGCTCTCATCAGCACACGCGGATGGACGGATGCTGCCCAAGAGCAGCCGCATCCCTTGGGCAGGGGAAGGGAGCGAGCCCTGGGGGAGGTGGAAGTAACTTTGTGGGTGCCTTAAAGAGATGAGATTCTTAAAGAGATTCATGAGGATGAGAAGTTTTTGGAGATGGTAAGAATTTTCAAGTTCTTACTGATTTTAAGCTCTGGGTATCTGGCAGCCCATGGTGCCCTCGCCGTGCAGCACCGTGCCCCCAGCAGGCTGCCCGCACGATGAAAAGGCGCCTTCAGCTCTCAGCACCATTTCGGGAGTGAATGACCCGGTGCCTGTAAAAGGCAACTTGTGTGGAAACTTCAAAACGCTTGGCAAAGCGCTGGTATTTCTGCCAGGCGGCTTCCACCAGCCTTTCTGATCTCAAGCAAATAAATAAGGCAAGAACTTCACAAGGGCGGTGGAGGTGATGGGATCAATGGTGGTGGAAAGCTGGCATCCCCGACCCGTGCTGAACTGGGCTCAGGGAGGCCGTCTGGTATGTGTATGTCTGATCTCACTACTTTATTTCATTGGCCTGGAGGTTTTTTTATTTTATTTATTTATTTATTTATTTATTTTTTTTTTTTTTTTTGCGTCAGTTGGATTCTGGTTTACAAGCATCTGACACGCCGGGAAGCGTTGTTCCAAAATCCTTCCCCATGAGAAATGAAAGTGCGTGGAAGGGGAGCTGCTGGTGCCGAGGTTACCCTGGGCTCCCCGGGGTGTTTCTCCTGGTCCCTGCTCTGAGCCCCAAATCTGTGAGCCCTTCCCTGCCCGTGGCCCTTGGCTTTGGGGACACGTGGCTTTGGGGACATCTGTGGGGACACGGGGTGGTGGCATTCCTGCTACAGTGCCAGGGAGAGTGGGCTGGCCTGGTGCACAGGGCTTGGAGCAGCGCGGGGAGGGTTACAGCAGGAGCAGTTTCAGCTGTTGGGAAAAAGGCTATAAAAACACGATTCCCACCATAAGCAGCCCCGTGGGCTCGGAGTACATCAAATTGGGTATTTTGCCTCTGGCAGAAACAAAAACCTGATGTGCCAGAGGATGGTAAAGCCCTCAACTAATCCCTTAAATTGTTTAATACCACAGGCAGCAAGGAAATTTTTTCTGATCCCATTAATCTTTGCTGTGAAAGAAAAGCTTTTGTAACTGTATCCGTGGCTAGCATCCCCCCGTTATTCCCATAACTTAAACACCCAGCTTTTCCTTCGCAGAACCCACAACGACACCTTCTGCAGGTTAGCAGGAGGGGGGCAGAGATGCTGGAACCCCAAACCCACCAAAAATCGAGGCAAAGCTTGAGCCCGTCCACCCCAAAATGTGCAGAAGGGTCCGTGGAGGTGCCGGCAGCACCACTCGCACCCCACCTGCCTGCGCTGCACCAGGCTCCCCGCCAGCCCCCCGACTTCACCAGCACCACGGCCCTACAAAGGGAAGGAAAGGAAGCAAAAGGAAGGAAAGGGAGGGAGGGGGAGAGGGTGTTTCTGGTATTGAACAGCGGCGCAGAGCTATTTCTCTCGGCAGCTGACAGTGTAAATGCATTTCCTGGCAGGCAGCTCGCTCTGTATTAAAATTCTTGATGAAGATTATTAAAGTGTGTTTATGAAAAGCCTGCGAGTGCGGCTTGGACTCCAACCTGCCTTTGCAGAGCTGGGTGTTTGGGTGCGGGCGGCGTGCTTGTGGCTCATTAAAACTGTCCCATCCCAACCCACCGCCCCTGCAGCCCCTCGGCACTGCCCCAGGCGTTGCTGCGAGGACATTTGGGTTCACTGCCAGATTTAGGGAAATGTTTGCGTCCCCCTGACCTCCTCTGAGGGGTGATGAGACCCATGGGGTCGTGCTGAAGCCCCCGTGGGGTCAGCACAGCACGCAGGCTGCTGTTTGTACTGGCAAAGCTTTTGGGAGACGGCTCCGCACTGGAGACAGAGTCCTCCGGTGCCACACACAGACAAACATCCCACCCACCACGCCAGCTCCTCCGCTGACACCTCGAGGTCCCGGTCACCCACAGCCACCACCAGCACGTGCTTGTGGCCCAGCTGCTGCGTGGCCCTTGCACACGTGCACGTGTGCACAGATGCATGCCCAGCTGCTTGCACGCCCCCATGGCACGTGCACGCCGTGAGCGCACGGGGCAGCAGCTTTGGCCAAGGGCTTGGCTCACTTTTACCGCCTGCTTTTTCCCTTTCCAGCCCGAGGTAGGATTTTTAACATGGGAGACCAGGTTGTATATCTAAATATATGTCCTTTAAAAAAAACGTTTCCAAGAACAATGGTGGAAGCAGCCCAAAAATGTGCTAAGGAGGACGAAAGCATCAGGACTGGAGTCCAAGCAAAATATCGGAAGGGTGAATCAGAAAGGAGGAAAAAAATAGAAACGTATGGGGTTTTAAAAAGTTATTTTTTCCTTTTTAATGTTAATGGCAGTTTTTCAATTTGAGCTTCAAGTGCTAGAGAAATGTGTCAACTGCTCCTGCCCCAAGCCATACTTCGGAGGAATGCAAAAGCATTGTTGCGGTGACATATTCAAGATGGTTTCAATCCAACCCCATTTAGCCATTGCAAAGATGTCTTTGCTATTATTGTTATTAATTGGGCTCATTAATTTATGTCCAGTGCTTTCTTACAGCTTCCCTGTCTCCATGCAGAATGATTCCCCCAGAGGCACTTGATTAGTGGGCCTAATGAGGCCCCGCACCTAGGGTTTAGACCCCATGTCTCTGGTTTCAGCCCTAGCTCGCTAGTCCCCCTCTGCTGCACCATGGCAAGCTCATTAAAAAGAATTAATTGTCGGGAGTGTTGAAAATAGCTTTTAGAAGGGGGAAAAGCTGAGCTTTTCCTAAGTGTTCCTGTTGTAGGAAAATCAGGTGTGTGCTCATCTGCGTGCTGCAGGAAACTCAGGGAACAGACGGATGGCATGGCACAAAGAGGTCTGCGAGCAATGGGGACAAGTCACAAGGATGGGGACAAGCCTGCGTCCCCTGGGTCACCAAGTCATGGTCACTGTGCCCAGCAGCCGTCAAGCTGCTGTAAGCATCGTGGCAGGGCTCCTTGGCCCCTGCACAACTGTCCCCTAATTCTGCTTTGGGTGCTCTTATGCCTCAGCTTTTGGGGTCACTCGTTTGTTGTTCAATCTGTCCCCTTTGTGTCCCCGAGCCCAGCGCACCTCGCCCCCTGTTCCCATGTCAACTGAAGTTCCAGCCAAAAAAGGGCAGATGGAGAGGCCAAAAATAAAAGTCATAAAATCTTGGGTTTGATTGCACAGAACAGGAAGAAAATGTGTTCCCCAGGCCAATCGGGATGGCACAGTGGCTTCAGATGGAGGCAGGAGGGGAAACGGGGGATCAGGCCCAAATTCGTACTTACATCCGTCAGGGGCATGGACAATCTGGCTCTCATTAATCATCTGCTATAAACAGAGGGGGACTCGTTGGAACCGAGCGGTGTCACTGGATGAATGGCCTGGAGCTGGAAAATAAACACTTCAAACTCTGCCTCGGCGTTTGTTTTTGCTGAGTGCCTGCCTTGCACGGCGGCGTTCTGCTGGCGGTGGGGTGCCCATGGCCCCGGGGCTCCAACCCATTTTGGGTGAGAAATGCACCAAATGGAAGCTCAGGAACATTTCTGGAACAGCCCCAGTAGTTGCCCTGGGTGCTGCCAGGGGGCTCTGTCCTGGGGGGCTCGCCCCACCGTGCTCCCACCCAGCTCTGGAAGCCGTCATCGTGTTTTTGGGAGGTGTCCTAAAAGCACGTGCTGAAGTGGTGAGCCTCCATCCATGCTCACACACCACGAGGCTTCCACAGACAGCGGTCATTCTTGCCTCAAACTTCTCGGGCCTGCTTTTTTGTATTTTTTACCCACCCCCTTCCCCTCTACAGAATGCCACCAGGTGCAGTCTGGAATCCACACTCCCCCAGATATGCCTCTAATTCTGATTTATTAAGATAGTTATTGTATAGATGATTAGAAACATATTCTGGGAGTTTTAATGGCCTCGGAGCAGACATGTAGCCATTACAGAGCTGTTAATCCTCTATAAATATGCTTTTAATCATGCCCGTGTTTAACCTACGATAACTGTCCTATTAAATGTAACATATAGCTGGCAGCCCCGATGTAAAGAATTACAAGCCACTTCGTTTTCCTACAGGCTCATTAACTTCTGCTGTTCGGGAGGTATCACCAAAACCACACGTGGGCTGCTCATCTCAGACACCCAGCCCTCAGGCTCCTCGCAGGGATCCCGGTGCTTGTACCAGGACCAGGAGAAGGATTTGCTGCCGGTGAAGGCTGTAGCAGGTGAGTGGCTTTTGCTCCTGCCGTGGACCTGCTGCCCGCTTGTTTTTTAGCATTGCTCAGTGCATCTTGTTCTGCAGTCACCGTGCTGTCTGTTCGGGTTGAAGAACAAAACAGCACACACCGAGCTATGTCAGGGTTTGCAGCCTCCCCAGCTGGGCGAGCTCTGCTGAAGTTCAATGCTTATATCTGGTGGGAGCAGCGTGGCAGCGAAGCCAACACCTCCTTCTCCTTGCAGGGGTCCTGGCATGAAGTGATCACTTCGGCACCACTGGGGCCGGGCCAAGGGCTGAGGCTGCCCCGTCTGCCCCAATTCTTGCGCTCCCTTTGTCTCTGGGTCTCCGAATCGATGCTTTTGTCCGCAACACCGCGCTGCCTGGCTGCCCCTGTAGCCCAGGGTGAGATGCTTGGGCTGCTGCCGGGGCCGGACAAGGGGCCATTCTTCACGGAGAACAGTGGGGGATCTCATGGCGGGGCGGCTGGCCCCCTGCCATCACCCACCGCTGCCCTCCACACCTAGGTCACGTCTGGGCCCTGGCATTTGTGGGGCCAGGGCTGCTGCGGGCATCCCGAGGGGACTGGGGCAGAGGACGGGGAGCGGGGCTCTGTCTGGGTGTCCGGAGCCATCAGGAAAGGGACTGCAGAGGCTCAGCAGAGCTGGTGCCAGAGGTGAAAATTGAGGCAGAGCAGTCCCAGAGCTCCTGCACCACAGCCACAGGGCATCCCACTCACCCCCAGCCCTACCCTTGGGTGAATAAGCTGGAAAAATGCCATTTTGTTTTCCTTTTTGCAGCTCCCAGGCTAGAAAAAAGGAGCCAACACAGTGGGATCAGAGAAGTTTAGCAGCAGCCCAACCACTGTCCTCAGTGCTCTAAAGACACACCAGGAGGACCCCCACTGAAATAGGAATTGAGAAATTTCCCACCGTTGGTTTCATCTTTAGATTCAGAAGTTTGGAGTTTGCCACAGAAGGGAACATTACCCAGAGGGAACATTTCCTTCTGCCTTTACCCATAAGGAAGGGTCGGGGAGAGGATTAGGGGCACCCCAGAAGGTGCTGACCGTCCTGAAGCACACTGCCTCCAGAATCCCGAGAAGCTGTTTTCATGGGATTGAAGCATGCCTGCAAAATGCTGCCTGGCCAAACTCTATTCAGCTGGAAAAACACTGCCAAGCTCTTGCCTCGAGTTATCTCCATAGACCTCATACCAAGTCGCGTTTATTCACTCCCTTTTCCGATGGCCTCCACTTCCCCATCTCGAGGCATTCACAAATCACAATTTGCTTCTCCAGCATCAGCGCCGGGCTACAGGTCAGCAAGGACTTTCTTTTTAATTCCATTTTCATTGCTCCCGTTTGTTTTGCATTTTTATCCACCCTTGGGCGTCTTTCAGCTTTTCACAGAGCCTGAGAAGCAGAAAGATGTTTTTTTCTTTAGCACTTCAGATGCTAATAAAATTATTCAGCCCTGGCACATGAAATCAAGCCAGCGTTTGATGTCTGTAGGCTCCCGGTGAATTTATCCGTGCTGCAGCAGGGCTGGATGTGCAGGGTTGTAGGACAGCAGCACCACGGTGCTGATACCCGAGGACCACGCAGCGTGTGAGCCCCCTACCCCTGTCTGGGCAGCGGAGGGACCCCACGGGACCTCTGTGCTCCAGTCCCTGTCTGCCGTGCTATTTCTGTTCCTCCTGGTGCCCAGGGGGAGCAGCCCTATCCTTTTCCAGCATCCCCAGAGGACTTTGCCGAGGGATGGGGAGGCATTTCTCTGCTTGTCCGGGCTCATCTGCAGCTCCCGTCTGACTTTCTCACGGGAAGAGCTGACCTGGCCCCTCCGAATAATCCCAAGCCTCCCAGTTGCCCCCTGCCTGCCTCTGTTTGTGCATTTGCAGTCTCCTGACATCTCTTCCCCCCCGGCAAAGGCTGGCCCTGGCTGAACCCCACAGCTCCGAGGTTGGGAGAGGGCACCGTGGTGCCCTGCTGGAGGCTGGGTGACCCCACATCACGTCTGCCAGCCTGGGGACACCTCTACTTCTTCCCTCTCCCCCTTAAAAAACATTTTCCTTGGAGGAATCTGAAGGCAAACCAGACAAGCTGGTGCATCTATTCAGTGACAACCGGGGAGGATCGCTTTCTGCTGAGCGTGGTGTGCTTTGACGGGTTTATTCAGCTCTCAGTTGGGTAAATCCATGCCAAAAGAGCAGGGCCCAGCTGTGCTGCTGCTGGGTTTTATCAGCACCAAAGGGGCACGTCCCCTCTGCAGGGCTAGCTTCCTTTTTGGGATTTTCGCTGGGAAAAGCCAACGCTCACACCCACAAATAGCACAGAGCATCACTGCCCGTGTGGGCAGCGCAGCACCAGGAAAGGCAACAAGCAGAGACTGAGCTCCTCGTGTGCATCATGGGCAGCAAGAAATCATCCAGACAAGCTGGAAAGCCCTCAGGTTTGGGGTTTTGCCATTCTCAGGGCAATTCCCAATTGCCAGTTTCCCAACTGGCATGCCCTGTTCTTGCAGTCACCCCAGCAAGGAGTTGTATTTTCCATCTGAGCTCAGGTACATCACTTTTAGGAGGTGCTTTGGGGACCGTTTGCTTTAGGGTCAGACCCTCCTGCGTCAGAACCCACTCCGTGTTTCGATTTGGGGGACCAATGAGTGGTTATTTAGGGAACGATGGGGGATCCCCGTTCACACCCTAACCCCAGCCTTAAGCTGGAGCCGGGGCATTCGGTCACCGGCCCCGTGAGCCCAGCAGCCCCCAGGCAGCTGATGGCTCGGCTGGGTGTAGGAACGCTCCCAGCCTCCCGTCCCGCCCGCCTGTTGTTGTTGGCAGCGGGTTTGGGAGGCCTCCAGGTTGGACCCGTCAAGAGCACAAGCGAACAAAAATTGTTCTCATCTGAGTAAACACAGCCAGCTGCTGCCAGCAGCTCCAGTGCCCCGGCAGAGGATTTGTGTGGCCAGCCATCATCCCAGTCTGGCTAACTGGTTTAACTGGTGGTCAGGAAGACCCGTCCCTTTAGTACAGGCATTTTGTAACCCATCCACCCTCCAGCTCCCTTGCAGGTGATGGAGTCGGGACGCTGCAGTCACCCTTCTCCTGGGGCCACCAGTCACCTCCAGTGCAACCCAGTAACATCCATCCCTGCTCCTGCTGCTCCCCTGGGGCTGCTGCAGAGGAATTTCTCTGTCCTGAGCTCCTCAGGATGGGTTTGTCCCCACCAGTGCTCAGCAGCACACGGGTTTGCTGCGTGGTGGCTGATTTAATGAGGAACCTTCCCTGGAAACCCCAGCCTGGCTGCGGCTCAACCCAGCCCTTCCAGCCTCCTTCGGAGAGCCTCGCACGGCTTCGCTCCGCTCCTAATTGCCAGAAATGAAGCAAGCCAAACCCCACCGGCTCCCTACCACCCACAGGCAGTCCACCAGGCCCACTTCTCAAGGTGAACTGGGCAGGGTTAACCTCCCCTCTTAGCACCACCATCCCCTGTAGGACATTTCCAAAGTGTCTGACACAAACCGTGCAAAAACCTCCCTGAAGCAGGAGCACAAAGGACATCTATCCTTCCCCACAGCATTTCCTCCACCATTCTGGTGCCCCCTGGGCCTGAGAGATGGAGGTGGCCATGAAAGGCCACAAAACTGCCCCATTTGTGAATGTTTTTTCCTCTTTTGCCTTAACTGCAGAGCCCCGTGCAGCGCGCGTGCCCCACTCCTGCAAGGAAACGGCACCCGCCTCCCTCTTTTACTGCTCACCAACTATTTGGCCATTAAGAAAACGGGGGAGCTGGGGGCACTCAGTCTTGACCTTGGGGAAAGCAGGAGGCTTATAAAAGCTCTAAGTGCTGCAGGAATTACGAGGCAATTAAAAATCAGGCCAGAGCTGGGACCGGGGCAATAAAAGCCAGAGGAACTGATGTCAGCCCCGTGCGGGACGCAGGGACCCGCGGCACTGGGACGGCAAACCCGTGTCCATGCTAGCTTCCCACCACCATGTGCATGACCCCAGATGGAAGCACAGGAGCATTCATCTGTAAGTTCACCATGGCTCAGCTTGGGTTTTCCAAGCCGCTAAGAGCAAGGAAGAGAGAAATCAGCTGAATTTCAGTGGGATTTGCTAGGGTGCATTTTCCATTTTGAGTTGCAGTGCTAATTTTCTTTAGATTTGGGTCTTTCCAAAAGCTGGGACTGGTGTCCTCGAGCGAGGTTGTGGCTCAGGACCATCGGGCCGGAGGTTGAATGTTTCTTCTAGGTGTAAATGGTTTCATGTGCAAACCTCTTGAGTTAAAGAGCGCGGTGACAGGGGGTGAAGGCTGCTCTCTGCGTCCTCTTAGGAAAGTCCCAGAAAATGTCATCTGGCTCTTAGGCCATGCTGAGAACATTTGCCAATGTCCCCTGACCAGTTTTGAAGCAGGAAGAGGCAAAAAAAAATGAGTCTTTTTCAGTCTGCCTTTGCTAAAGTCCCATCCAGCAGGTTTACTTAGGTTTGGTCATTTATTTACCTGTCTGCACTGGAGTGCTGCCTGGACTGGAGCGATGTAAATGTATTTCCTAAGGGTAGACAAGGGCTCAGAACAAAACCCTGCTCTGGTCCAGATGTCCAGAAAGGGTCCTGGTCATTCTGAGCAGCTCTGACTCAAAGCAAACATCTCAAAAGGGAGTTTTAGCTGCCAAAGGTGGTGCTCAGAGCATCGACCCACAGCCCTGCCTGCCCCACGGCGCTGGACATGGAAAGGGGAGACCAGACTTGTGCTGAGAGCAGGCACAGCTCATTGCACCCCCAGTGTTAGCAGAGATTTGGGTAGTTACATCCCCCCCAAGCCATCTCCTGGGCCAAAAATTCTGCATATTGCTGCAAAGGGCCCTGGTGTTTCCCCAGGGGAATGCCCATTCCCCCCATCCACCCCCCGCAGGGCAGAAACCCCATTTCTCCACGCAGGGGCTCAGCGGGGGTAAATTGCCGACCACGGAGACATTTTGCAACAGCTTGTTGCAGGGTTTCAAAACTCGTTTCGCACTGGGGTGGAAACCAAAGCCCTGGAAATGTTTCTGCGGCAGAATTGCATCGCGCCGTCAAGGGGAGAGGGCTTGGGGTGCGCGGGTGACCCGCTGTGTGTCACAGCCGGCTGGAAATTTGGCGGAGCAGCCCGTTTTGTGAGGTTTTGGCATCTAGCTGAAAACACGTGGCTGGCTCAAGGGACTGGCTTTTGAGGCTGGAGGGGGGAATTTAGGGGTTTTATGCCTGGGGAAATGCAAGGGGGGAATGCATCGACCTCCCAGCTCAGTCGTTGCTGCTTTTGGTGAGCCACGGAGCAGCTCCTGGCAGACACCAGCCCGAAGCTCAGGGCTCCAGCAGCCGAGCACACAACCCCCAGCCAGCGTTACGCAAAGCAGGAGTCACTCCATCGGAAGAACTGGAGTTGCCCCAGCAGAAGGAGCACGAGCAGGACGCTTTGACCCCGCCACGCTCCGCCAACCTGGCTGCAACTTCAAGGGAGCCAAAATCCAGCAGCGCTCGGACATTCACGGTGCCCCGTGATCGCTGACCACGTCCACTGCCAATCACCAATTCCTGGCTGCAGACACGAAAACCCAGAGGAGCTGGGCACGGGCTGCTTGTGGGGACAGGCACTGCAGGCTCACTGTCCGGCTCTTCCCTTCCCAGCTGCTGCAGGGGGAGACCCTGCAAAGCCCAAACTTGCCAGGGATTTTGCACACACAGGGATTTTGTGCACACGCGTGCAAGGACAGGCTGTCCTCCAGCAGAAGCTCTGCTTCCCGACGAAAATCAGCCGCAGGGTGGGCACGGCTCCAGGCAGGCAGCTGTGCCCTGTTTCCTGACCTGCCTGTTCCTCTGTCCCGTGCGATCGTGTTCTGGGGCTGGTGGCGGTGATTTTTTTCATAACGGGGACTCTCCGGTGGGATGCTTGAGCTGACAGCCTCAGCTGCAGCTGGGGAGCGTGACGGTGCTTGCACCGAGAGAACCCAAACCTGGGCAAACGTGCGAGCAGTGGCTGTGGGGTTCAGGTCTTAACACAGGGAGAGGAGCACGAGGAGCCAGAAAAAACAGTGCAGTGCAGCCCCCGAGCTGTAAAGCCCCCACCCAGCCCCAAAGGGGACTGCAAAAGCTCTTTTTTTTTTTTTTTTTTTGGTGTGGAAGCTCTGTGTGTGCAGGGTCTGGCATCTGGCAGCCTCCAGCATGGGAGCACACGGCACGGTAGCCCCGGTGCATGGCCCCTCCGCTGCCAGCCCCTCGCCCTGGGGCTGGGGGCCTTTTGCAGCTCCCTTTTTATGGGCAGTGAGGCCCGAGAGCAGCTCATTAGCTTCCCTGCTCGCTGGGTTTATGTTTGCTGGCTCTCGCTGGCTTTTCCCTCCCTGTAAAACAAGAATGCACAAACACAGGCTCGCACCGAGGGAGGAAGGGTGCAGGAGGGGAGCGAGGAGCTCTCCCCCTGGGTTTCGCCCCCCTTGCACACCAAGGGCAGCAGCCCACATCTCCCAGCAGCTTTCTGCTTTTGAGATACACTTCAGCAGCCCTTTGGCAGGAGGATTTACCCCATCCTTGTTTAAGAGGCTTGGGGCAGACAGGGTGCACTCACAGTCCCCTAAGGCTCAGGGAGGAGGTGGGGGGGGGGGTATCCTATGCCCTTCGTGTCCCTGAGCCTTTCCCACCGTGACGCTCCACCTTCCTGGCCGGAGATGATGGCTCTGGCACAGGATGATGCTGGAGCACTCTGCTCTCTGCTTCCTTATCTGCAGCCCTGTCTGCTTTCCCCTGTGCCAGCTCCAGATCAAACAGGAGGAAGCCAGAGGGGTCCCGGTTATCGCTACCCTCCTGGGGGGTTGATAAAGACCTGCAAGGTTTGCAGCTCATCAGGCTGCAGGGATGGTGGGGAGGACGGTGTCTGCTTCCTGGGGGACAGCCCCCATCCCACCAAAGGGGCAGGTGTTCCCCATCCCCACTAAATTCAGGATTTGGGAAATCCCATGAGGAAGATGTGTCCGATAAGCTGAACAACATCTCAGAGCATCCTCTAATTACAGTGCTTTGGGAAGAAGTGCTGGTGAAGGCAGCTCACGATAACCCCCCAGCCTGGCTCCTGGTCCCCAAAAAGGGTGAAACTTGCCCCAAGTCCCCTCGAGAGCAGCAGGCAGGAGGGGTCTCGGTGGGACCCGCTGCCACCCGCGTCTGTCTGCATCGCACGGCGGTGGTCCCCACGTGGCAAAGCCCTAGCGCTGCGTAGGACGCAGATGTTGGATATTAAATGCCAGCAGCTACGCTCAGCTGTTCTCCCAGGCTTTAGCCCTGGTAGGAATTAAAGCCTTGTCTTTAACAGCCCTCCCGAGCACGTTCCCATGCCCATATAACCCGCTCCCACATCCGTGTAACCCCCTTTACAG